GCATAAAAACAATTTTCTGCTTATGAAAATGAGTCATCAAGCCTTTAAGTTCTGACTATAAAGAAAGATTTGTGGGGTGCCTGGCTGGCTCAGTCGGTGGAGCATCTGACTCTTGATCTTGCGGTCGTGAGTTCAAGCCCCATGATGAGTGTAGAGATTACTTTAAAAATTATTTTCTTAAAACATATAATGTATTATTTGTTTCAGGGGTACACATCTGTGATTCATCAGCCTCATATAATACCCAGTGCTAATTACAACACATACCCTCCTTAATGTCCATCATCCAGTTACCACATCCCTCCACCCCCCCAAAATTGATTTTTTAATAAGTATTAGAAAGGAGATGCAATATTTCTTCACCAACTTGCAGCATATTATTTCTAAACAACCTCTATTAAAATAAGTCATGGTTGAGGGGTGCCTCGGTGGCTCAGTGGGTTAAAGCCTCTGCCTTCGGCTCAGGTCATGATCTCAGAGTTCTGGGATCGAGTCCCGCATCGGGCTCTCTGCTCAGCAGGGAGCCTGCTTCCCCCCAACCCCCTCTGCCTGCCTCTCTGCTTCCTTGGGATCTCTGTCTGTCAAATAAATAAATAAAATCTTTAAAAAAAAAAAAAGTCATGGTTGAAACCTCAAAGGGAAAAATCAGGATTTGAAGAATAAGGTTGCTAAATGAACTTGTAAAAGCCTTAACCTTCAATATACCAAACTAAAAACAATAATGAATTAGCAATATTCCATTTGTATTCCTTTTCTAAAAACTTGTGAGAGATTTACTTGCCCTAGTGTTTAAATGTGATACTTAGACATATACATTCACTTTTGCTATAGGTAAACAACCAGAGAACATTTTAAAATTTTGTTTCTAGTTTCAAGTGTACCATGCCTGATTTTATTATTTTGATTTATATTTGTTTTATCCAAATGTCAGATTTTCCAAATCATACTTGATATAAATTCTTAAACATGTGGAGAAAATATACAAAACAAGATGAATGTATCCTAAGATTTTATCCTAGATGAAGTCATATGAAATCACAGCTGGCAGCGGGTGGGGGAGGTTGGCAGCTCAGAAAGGGGGGAGGGAGTCTACTGTGATTTATTTATAGGAAAGCAAAGAAATGGAGGGGAAAAAGAGGTGAAAATAGTAGAAGTTTTAAAGAAAAAGTTTTTTGAAGTGGTACAAAGCATTACCATTAGGTACTTAAAAAAAAATTCTTTAGTTATTGAACTCAGTGAACATATTTGTCCCAAATTTAATGATAAATATCACTCCTCTTTCAATTCTCTAAAACTGTAGGGGAATAAGCCTTTAATCAGTACACAGAAACTTTTATAAAAACCTCATAAAATGTATTATTCCATTTGAACTCATAATGTTTTGTGGGCCCTTGGCCTTACTCTCCTTTGAGTTTGGGGCTTTGAGAAAGGATACACTGACATATCCTGTGCAAGGGAATAAGTACTAAGAGAAGTGAAAACTACTCACTCCTCATTACTGCACAGGTTGTGACTTACAAAGAATAAAAACTGTTTTCTATGAAAAGGTGCCCTGAGAAAAGCAAACTGATGGTGGAAATTGAGAGAGGTTAGTGGTTAATGTTCATCCAGTAACTAAACTATATGCTGTAATATGATGGAGAGCTTTATTTTAGTGGCAGAAATGTTAGTAGCTATGTAAATTTTACTAGTTACTTATTTTAGTCTTTAAAAGTTAAGTATGTAGGCATATAGCTTTTCCAGAATTATGTGAGAAAAAAATGATATCTATAGTAATATTTAAGTTATTTTGAACATTCTAGATCTATCCTTCATGAATATAAAATAACTGCCTATACCTTCATGTTTAGATAGACCATTGTGTTGTTTCAAGGTAAGATATTTTTTGTTGATTTTCCAAAATCCTTTTTTGATGATACTTCACATGTTCTTGGCTTTTCTGGCCACAGCAGAACATTTAACTGATTATTACCAGACAATAGTCTAGAACTCTGTAATAATTACTGTGTACCCTTTCTGACTCTAACTGAAAGTACAGACATCAGACATACTATAAATATAGTTGGGATAATCTCTTTAGTTACATTATCTTACACTTAGCCACCCTAAAACTTTTCTGCCCGTTCACAGAGTTTCAAAATATCTTTCAACTACTTTTATCATTCATAACGCAGACGTATTTAATATTACTTGTATATTTAGAAGGATGGTATGTTTAATCACTTCCAGAATACTCATAAAAATCTAGTAAGAATATCAAAGAACATTTTTCCAACTTTTGTTAAAATGAAAATCTCTTATAATTAATCAGTGTTCCTATACTTTTGCTAGTTTAAAATAAGTTGATGGCTTGTTAAAAAATTGATGCCAGCATGTCCATTTTTACTATACCTCTTCAAGGAACAAAATGTACCACACACTTGATGACAATCAATAATGCACAGAAAAGATATTTGGAAACAAAGACCACTGTTGCATTGTTGATACTGTTCTGTTTCATGTCAAATTCAAGTCAAGCATAACTTTTTAGGAAGTTGTATTTGTAATGTAAAATTAAGATTTGCTTAATTCATTCATCAAATATTTACTGAGCATTTACTACATGCCAGGCATTGTTCTGGGTACTGAAGATTTAGAAATGAAAAAGACAAGAATGGTTCCTGCTTTTCCACTGCCAAGAAGCTTGTTTTATCTTGAATCATTCATATTAAAAAATATATAAACCAGCAATAAGACAGTCACAAATGTCATAGAATTGGGATTGAAAGGAGCTCAGAGATCATCTACTATATGTTATCAATTCCAAGATGCACATTATTTTACATTTTGACGCTGTGAAATCAGCCACATCTTACAATGTGGTCAGACCAGGCTGCACTCAGGGAGAGTTGTCACTGCCTGTGTATGTGCATCAAAACTCACAGAACAGTGTTGGAGGCTTGGAAGAAAATACGGGTGACAATGGTGAGGGCACTCTTAAGGATTCTTGATGATTCACAATTCAGTAAAATATAATAGTTAAAAGTGTTCATTTCTTAGAGGAGAGGAAAATGAAATTCAGAGAGGTTAAATAACCTGCCCTAAATTAGAAAGCAGGGTAGGTAGTACAAGTCCAGGTTCTAACTTCTATTCTTATTCTTCTACCAAAGTCTTCTGATATATGGAAATAAAGGCTCTAGAATATGGCTCTAGTTTTGGGACCATGGACAAGGAACTTAATCCCTCTATGCCTCAGCTTCTCCACTGTAAAAAAAGGAGTTTAACAGACCAACTCATGATACTGTATTGAGTAAGAGAATGTATATATAGGACTTAACACAGAGTTTGGCATATAGTTGGCGCTCTGTAAAACTTAACTATCTGAGATCAAAATTTACATTTGGTAGGAAATTTAAAGTGACCAATTATCCTACAAATATTGCTCACTATATGAAGCCCACATCTAGTTATTTGACTAAAATACTGAAAAATAAATAGAGTGGTCAAATGTTTGAACTGATTAATACAATAAAAATTTCCACCTTAACAATGCTTTGTCCAGGTCCATATGGTACTGTGCCAAGAACCCAGTAGATCTACCTGCAAAAAAACATACAAAAAATAAGAATTGACACCAACTATGATTGTCAAGTTACTTAGGACTTCACTGTGTTCAAATGCATTTATAAATACAATCTGAAACAACATATAAACAAGAACAAATATTCAAATGTTAAACAGTTCATTTATTTTTGCTTTCTATAAAACACAATTACAACCAGGTATATAATACTTGTACAACAACCACAAGTTTTGGAGGTTAAACTTGAATTGGTCCAAAGAGTGAGCGTACTAACTGTTCATAATCCATTATTAATTTATATTTTGTAAAGCATTTTCTCATTCATCATCAATTCAGTGCCTCACATATAGTATAACTATAAAAGTATATCCCAGGTACTTTATAATGTCATTTTGTTTTCTGTTCAAACAATGGCATGTTTAGAGAAGGGGTAAAGGTCTACATTTCTTTTTTAAGCCTTTCTGGTCAGCTCTTCTAATTTTGGGAATTTAAGTGAAAATCCAAATTATGGCACACTATGTTTTATAGAATCAACTGTTTTTACATATTTGTTTCTATATTTTTGTTATAAAATAACATTCTATATGTATAGTTTACATTGAGTTCATTACATATTTCAGACAAATAAAATTGGTTTCAACTGAGATTCTGAATGCAACAGATACACAGGTAAGCACTTGAAAAGTAGTTTTAACTACTGGGAAATGTTAACCAATCAACTCACATTTGTTCCTGTTTCACCTGAAGACAAAATCTATAGGCCACTCTGCAAAGAGAACTAACTGAAATGAATGTATCTGTATTTAGAATTACTGTATTTGCAGAAGCCTCTTGCAATTAAAAGTCTTATCATGAGGTCCAATTCTGGCGTCCTGCTGTTTCACTCATGACAACTGCGCAGTACCAAAGTGCGACAATTCTCTATTTTAAATATCAGCATATTTTCTCATACCAGTTATTTTAAGAATGCTTTTGTTAAAAAATCTCACAAGCACTAACATGTTATCCAAATTTAAACTTTAAAAAGAAAACCAACCCAATGTTCAACATGAGAAGTATCCCTATGAATTCTGAAACTTAAAACCAACATTTTAGTTTTCTTATGTTTGGGATTTTAAAAAAAACAAAAACAAAAAACCGATCGCATACTTCACTACACACATCCTGGATAGTATTCGAAGATCAAAGTCTAATGCTGAGTATGGCTGGGTCAGCAGGGAAGACCCCTATGGCCAAATATGAGAGACCCATGGTAAGGTGCATCCGGCCAAAAAGATCGGAACCAGATTCCAATGAGGGCAGCGGCCTGAAGCTACCTGCACTTAGTGGGACGCCCCACACCTCTGCTGCTCCAAATTTCCCACCGCGCCCCACCTGTCTCTGTCCTAGCCTCTGCCCCGCCCCTTCCTCCCCGGCCAGCTACCGCATTGTCCGCGCAACTCCGAGGCTAAGCGGAGTGACGGAAACTAAAACCCGGCACAGAAGAAAGGCCCAAGGAACCAGTGAGTCCCCACCCTGCCAAAAGGAGCGACTCCTCTAGAAAAACTTGGCGGCAAGTTAACAGGAAGCGCGGAGGCGCAGTTCCTAGGCCGTTTGGGGCACCTTGCCGCCCCAGTAATCTCTTTTGTTCTTTGACAGGCCTCCTTGAAGCCCCAACTCTGAGCGCTTTCCGGGCGGCTCTTGACTCGAACTCCACTGCGATCCCTCACTGATGGCAGCCATGATAGTTACATCCGGGTATTTCGTGGAGTCGCGACCAGAGTCTCCCGGAAGTGACGCGAACGCGGAGGGATTTGCGTTCGGTGAGGTGAAGGGGCTCCGGAAGCTGGTCCGGTAGAGACGCTGGCGGTGGTGTGATAGCGTTGGGGGGTTTGTTTACCACCACCTACTTGTAATGGGTGTTACGTGTTATGTGTTGTGCCCGACATCCCCTTTCCCGTGCCTTTTAAATCCTTTCTTTACATCAGGTCCAGGAGGAAGAAATGGTATTGTTTCCATTATGGGAAAATTGAGGCCAGGAGAGGGCGAGTGATTTGTCTTAATGCATCTCGTCTTGGAGCTGATCTGATCCCCCAGTTTGTCTGTGGAGCCAGTGCTTTAAATTTCCTCCGTAATGCTTCAATTTAGGAAAACCCCAAACCCCTGGTGCTTCCACCTGTCAGGCCACTTCTGCAAGGGCGTTCACCTTCAGCTCAGCGTTGTTGTCCATGGAGTAGGGCCAAACCACAGCCACCGTGGTCTCTGCGGTGGACAGAGAACCGAACCGTGTGCCACCGTCACCTTTTTTAACCCGGTGTCTTGCAATTTCTCTTGGTCTCCTGCCCCTTGACTCTGCACATGGAAGGTTCTTGCTGCCCTCGACCCCCGGTTAACTGAGGGAACTGGCTCTGACTCTGGGCGCTGGGAAACATTGTAACTCCTGTCAGGCACTTGTAAAGTCAAGACTGCTCAAACGGCTCGAGGCCTGTCATTATTGGCAAATAGCCTCTGGCGATAATAAAAGCCTGACAACGATTATCTTGGACTTTCCACCAAATCAGTTGTTTCTCCTGGCTTCTATTCCTTTAGAATATAAGAACAAATACTTCCACCTTAATGTCACCGTTAACTATAACCAGCCATCAAATGATGAAGTGTGAATATCCACTGAGGTCATTTTTATTTCTTTTTCTTTTTTTTCACAGAGGCCATCAGGTGGGGAAATAGCTACACCAGCACCTCCCCAGAACGTTCAGAACCTCTCAGATCCCTGGGTGTCAGAGGTCCCAGGGGCACAGCGTCCTCAGGGGAGGTCAGAGCCCATGGCTAGATATCATGGAGGCGAGGTAGTATTTTTGTAAAAACAAATTATGCATAGAAAAAAATACATCAGAATTAAGAATGATAATATTTGAAGAGCGGCCATTTAATTATTTTATTTCTTCTCTCTACTATTTATTTTCTATATCTGCTACAGTTCTTTTTAATATAGGGAAATAAATTGACCACAGTAAACCTTTCTTAGTTGCCTGCTATTATAATGAAGACAAAGGCATGTTGTCACATTTTGACGAATGACTGTCTTTGATACAAACTACAGAAAGGAATTCTTTTCCTTGGCAAAGCATTGTTTCTTGTTGTTGTTTTTTGTCAGGATATTATCAAAATACAAATTTGGTATAGGTGTTTTTCACACACCTTTGTATAAAAATATTCCAATCAGAAGTTTTACTTCTCAAAAAAAAGAGGAGAGAAAGATTTGAGACACTTGACATTCTGGATAACAAGTATAAAAAGCTACTTTTATTCTGCCTTCTTTGGGGTAGCTTTAAACAACTTACCAGGTTCAGATAAAAGCAAAATAACCTCTTCTATTTTCTAGTTCTGTAGTCTGCTTCCACTGTTGCCTTTTAGCAACTACCAAGCAGTGGCACTACAAGAAATACAGTGAAAAGACAGAAGAGAAAATGAGAAGGGATTGGGGAGGAAGAACATACAAAGTAATAATGGAAAATGCTGATATTGGGGTCGAGGTTGCTTTGAAATTCCAAGATAGCATGTAACAACCCTTTCACCCAAGTCCTGGTACAAGACCAGTTGCCCACTCAAACAGATTTGCATATATAATGTTCCCACTCACACCCTGAACACCCACTATGAGAATCCTTACCAAAATTTCAGCTTTATACTTATACAAATTAGACATATATTTTGACAAAACCTAGAGTGGCTTGAACAACAAGAACTATGAAGTAAAATCTCATAGTTTTCCCTAGTATTCCCTCTTACCATATCATTCATTCATCCTATGATTAGTAGCATAAGTGGATATCGAACGGGAAGTGTTGCCTGCTACGTTATAATACAACAACTATGAAACTCCCAAGTGAGGTTCTGACAAGATACATGTTTTCAAAGGAAGTATCTTCATGTTAGTCTGGGCCTTCTAAAAAGCAGTTGTTAGGGTGACATTAAATGTGCAAGAATTTTATTAGAGGCAACACTTGTGAGAGAGAGTAAGGAGGGAGCCAGGGAGAGCCATCAGATAGATGGAAGTTAAAAACAGTGAAAGAGGTGGGGAGAGGTTGGTGCAATTGTCCTAGACTGCTGTACAGTCTGAGGAGGATTTGGCAAGGCTACTGGGAATGCTCAAGCCAAAATTGCCATGGCCAGGAGTCCTCCTAGGAAGGAGCTTGCCTTATGATCTGTGCTGCACTCAATCACTGGCCGGATCAGCCCATGGAAAGCTTGGTCTTTGGTGCAAATGTGGTGGAAGATTTCAGAGTATGGCAGCACCTGGGGCCCTTGGGCAATTTTGCTCCCTATAGTTGGTAACCGCAGTCCCCAAATAGGCTTTTTCAGTTATTGGTGCTTTTCACCAGTTTCAAGGCTTAGAAGAAGATTATAAAAGAGGTGATTTCATGAGGAGGATTTTACATTGTTGTTAGGCTTCCTCATGCCCCTTCAAGTCTACTGAGTGGGGCTTCAATGGCACTACTCAGGGGTCTTGATATGTGTCCCTTGAGTTTTCAGAAGTACAGTAGTGCCTGACTCACATCTGAGAAATCCCAGGGTAGGGAGAATGGGCCAGTAACAAGTTTGGGCAGAGGAGTAAAGGAGAGTTGCTATATTGGAATCAGCTGTGACTTCATAGTTTGTCCAAGCAAATGATGTTTGAGTGTTTCTTGTGCACCAAATATGTACCACATGAGAGAAAGAGCTGGCCTGGAGCTCTTTTGACTCTTGCCTAAGAGGACTTCCTGGAAGGGAAATGGGACTCCCAACAGAGAAAGCGCATGTGGTGTGGATTATCAGAAAATCTGGAGCTACAGAAGGAGCAGTAACTGGGGAAATAGAATGTGTTACCCATCTAGGATGACCAGCTTGCTCAAGTTTGCTTGGAACTCTCCCTGTTTTAGTACCAAAAGTCCCGAGTCTCAGGAATCCCTCAGTCCCAGATCACTCAGGATGGTTGGTCATTCTGCCTGTCACAGGAGTTACAGTCAGAAGGCACTCCAGCAGAGAACCTCCAAAATCCACCAAGTCACCCATGAGAATAAGAGTCAAGTCGAAATATCAAGTAGGCTCAGAATATGTGAAGCCAGTTTATGATTATGTTAGTATTAAAGTGGATTTTGTCAGGGCATAATTGGAAAATGTGCTGGAGCAGGACCTTCTTTTCCACCCATCCTTTAGGAATGTGTATAGTGTGCTCAGACTGCCATAACATTGTATCACAGACTGGGTAGCTTTAACTACAAAACTTTATTTTTTCTTAAGAAGTCCAAGATCGGGGCGCCTGGGTGGCTCAGTGGGTTAAGCCACTGCCTTCGGCTCAGGTCATGATCTCAGGGTCCTGGGATCGAGTCCCACATCGGGCTTTCTGCTAAGCAGGGAGCCTGCTTCCCTCTCTCTCTCTCGCTCTCTGCCTGACTCTCTGTCTACTTGTGATCTCTCTCTGTCAAATCAATAAATAAAATCTTTGAGAAAAAAAAAAAAAGTCCAAGATCAAGGGTATGGCCAATTTAATTTCTGGTGAGAACTCTTTTCCTAGCTTGCAGATGGCCATCTTCTTGCTGTGTCCTCATCTGCCTGGGTGAGGAGAGAGGCAGGGATCGGAGGTATCTCTGATGTTTTTTCTTATAAAGACACTAATTTTATAGGATCAGGGACCCACCCTTGTGACCTTATTTAACCATAAATCTTCAAAGGCCTCCTCTCCCAATATAGCAACATTCAGGGGTTAGGGATTCAACATATGAATTTTAAGGGGACACAAGCATTTGATACGTACCAGGGTAACTCTGAAACACAGAGATACTTTATTAAGTGGGGGGGGAGTCTTGAAAATATTAGCTGTTTCCTGCCTCACATCCTTAGGGAGAAGATACGCATTTGTGACACTGAAGCCCTGTATCTTTTTATGAACAAAAGTAAAAGTAAAAGTAAACATTATGAACAAAAGTAACATAAGCTCTTCAGACATTATCTTAATCGTGTCAAGGTAAAGTTGAACCCCATGAGAGGCCTGTGCTGGTGGTTTTGTTTTGGTTAGGTTTAGTTTGATTTCTGTCCTGTAGAGCAGAGGAATTGACAAGCTAATGTTCACATTACTGGACCCATAAAGAACCCCACAATAGACTGTGTACACAGTGATCATGACTTGGATGAACAAGGATTTAATAAACAGTGGAACTGTTGGATATGGTGCCGCCTGTAATTACGGTGTTTGACATTTTTTAAAAATTTACAAAGGATTGGCTAATCAGAGAATGTATCTTCCTGATCTTTCTTACAGATATGGACCCAAGTAGTTGCAAGACACTAGATCAAAAGGCCAATAAAATCAGAATGAAGTGCTACAATCAATTCTTTGCCTTTAGGCTGAGAGCAAGTGTAGGAATGAAATGCTGTTAAGAAAACACACACATGGAATTGGGTGATAATGTCCATAGAACTGGATATTGAATGTCCCTAATATCTACTTGAGTCCCTTTAGGAAGCAGTTGGTTTTTAATTCCTTGAGACTTTAGTAGTAGGAGCTAAGTTTAGCTGTGAGCACAGAGTAACAGAAAGCACCAAAATAAAGTTATTTATTATGATTTTTATATGATTTAATTTTTTTTTCAGTTGAAATTAACTTGGGGTTAGGACAGTGATTTATGGGGTGAGGATGCCAGGCTCCTGCTACCTTATTGCTCCACTGTGTGTGATTTCCATTTTCCAAAGTCATTTCCTGGTCCAGGATGGTGGCTAGAGCTCTAGTCTTCTGGTGAACAGAAGGATGGAGATATGTAGAGAGTAGCACACCTTTTCCATTTAAAGGCAATTCCCAGAAGCTGTACACAAACTTCTACAAGAGAGGCTGGAAAAGGCAATACTTTTTTTCCTAGTAAGTTAGTACCCAGCGAAAAGATTTTACTACTCTAGAACAGAAGTCAGCAAACTATGGCCCGTGGACCAGCCACCTATTTTTCTAAATAAAATTTTACTGAAATACAGTGCTGCCAATTATCTCTGGATACATGGGGTTTTTTGTTGTTGTTTAAACACACTATGTACTTTTTAGTTTTAATTCCAGGATAGTTAAAATACAGTGTTATATTAGTTTCAGATTTACAATATAGTGATCCAAAAATTCAGTATATTACTCAGTGCTCATCAAAATAAGTGTACTCTTAGTCCCTTTCACCTTTTACTCATCCCCCCCACCAACTTCCCTTCTGGTAACCATCAGTTCATGCTCTGTAGTTAAGCATCTGTTCCTTGGTTTACCCCTCTCTTTTTCTTTGTTTCTTAAATTCCACATACGAGTGAAATCACATGGTATTTGTCTTTCTCTGATTGACTTATTTCACTTAGCATAATACTCTCTAGCTCCATCCATGTCATTGCAAATGGCAAGATTTAATTCTTTTTTATGGTTGAATAATATTCCATTGCTTATATAGATAGCACATCCTCTTTATCCAACCATTAATCAATGGACACTTGGGCTGCTTCCATATCTTGGCTATTGTAAATAATGCTACTATAAAAATGGAGGTGCATGTATCCTTTTAAATTAGTTTTCTTGTATTCTTTGGCTAAATACCGAGTAGTGCCATGGATGGATCATAGGGTAGTTCTATTTTTAACTTTTTGAGGAACCTCCATACTGTTTTCCACAGTAGCTGTACCAGTTTGCATTCCCACTAACAGTGCATGAGGGTTCCTTTTTCTCCACACCCTCACCAACACCTTGTTTCTTGTGTTGTTGATTTTAGCCCTTCTGATAGTTGTGAGGTGATACCTCATTGTAGTTTTGATTTGCATCTCCCTAATGATGAGTGATGTTGAGCATCTTTTCATGTGTCTGCTGGCCATCTGTATGTCTTCTTTGGAAAAATTTCTGTTCATGTCCTCTGC